TCTTCTGTTCTGAAAGTGGAGAGGAATCTAGCTGAAGGGGAGATTCTTTGAGTGTGGTGCATGAAACTGGGAAGCTAGTAAGACATTAGTATTTCTATTTAATTTATTTTTGTTTGGGTAAGTGGTTTCTGAGCTTTTCAGGAAAGGTTGATGTCTATTTTTGTGAACACACTCTCACTTCCAGCAAAGGTGGCATGTAGGGACTTCTTAGTGACTGGTGGGCAGCTCTTTCTTCACTCAAACTGGTGATTAGTGACCCTGACATTCCTACCCATTAACAACCTTAGTTATGTTTGTACACATCTGTGGGGTACCGAGGACCCCAATCTGTTAAGGAGTACAAGCTCTAAAAGGGATTCATTTGGTCATCTGCACACACAAAGGAAACAGACTCTTAGCATCAAAGATTTTTTTTTAAAAGATTTATTGATTTATTCATACAGAACTGGGGTACAGGCCAGAGATGTGGAGGGTGAGAGAATTCACCAGAGACAGAGTGGGGAGCAGAACAGGCAGATCGACGAAGTCCACTGCTGAGGGGAGCAGCGGACGGGTCAGGAGAGGTCTGCCGCGCCCTGTGGTCACCTCCGAGGCAGGCGGGGATCGAACTCATGCCGAAGTGGCTTAAGCTTCCCAGTGCAGTGCTTTAACCCAATGTGCCACCAGGGAGGGCCAGCATCAAAGATTTTTAATGACTTAGTGTACATAGAGTGTGAGAAGAATTTCAGGTAGCAGTTTCGCAGTGAAATTTCCCAAATCACCCATCTCCTTATGGGCAAATGACCCGCCCAACAGGTTTAGCATGAAGCAGGGACAGTGAGGTTTGAAACCTTGCCACAAACCTAAAATACCTTTTGACAAGGAACCACAACAAAGGAATCAGGTCAGCTCCAGAGAACTGGGACAGGAGGAGATGATAGTGCAGCATGAAGTCGATTCAAGGACCACCATTGTCTCTGCAGGAACTAGCAGCCTCCCTTGTGTCTGTCACCTTGTGCCTCTTTTCCAAGTCTCTTCAGGTGTCTCCATGTGTCTGTCCTCCATATATCTCCTTCCAGGAGTGCCAGGGTGCCGGCCAGAATTGAAAAATCAAGAGGTCCTTCCTGCTGCCTTCCCACTTCCAGTTCCCACTAGCGCCTCCATCAGGAAGTCCAGTTCATGGCATGCTGGGATTTTTGGTTCCAGGTGTTTGCTTGTAAACTGGGGTGGGGAAGACGGCACCTACCTGTGCTTCTCTTTCATGGAGGTGCATCTGTCACCGTTCAAGGGTCAGCAGGAGGAAGGAAATCAGTTTTAAAAGGACGTTTAACTTTAGGAAGCAGTGGAAGAGGGAATTCAAAATAATTGCTTATGTTCTGGCAGGTAATGCACCTTTTTTTCCTTAGAGTTCCTCATTTTAATCTTTAACTCAAATCCTTTTTTAACAGAGATTCTCCCCTGAGCCACTGGTTATAAATAAATGACCAGAGCCATTATTGGACTACTTTCTCAGTTCTCCCAAGGATGATAATACAAAAAAAAAACCACTACAAAATTTAAAATTAGAAGGTGCTTGCAAGCTACCTCATCAGCCTGGTGTGGCTTTGTGGATGTTGGAGAAGAGACCAGACTCGTGGATGAGGCCAGAGAACTCCACCAGTCACAGAAATGGCATGTGTGGAGTATCACTTCCTCACGCCAGAGCAGAGTGGGGTGTGCCAGAGAGGAACTTCGAGCCTTGATGAGGGGCAGTGACACCTGCTCTTTGCACCGAGGTGACAGTCTCTTTTCCCCAGGCTGTTCTGTGAGCATTCTTGGAAAGATAGTCTAGGACAGCAGCAACCACTACCTCGTCTCACTAGAAAAGCAGAAACACAGGAGACTTACAGAGAATTTCCCTTGACACACAGGTATCTAGAATCAGCCTGAAGTGTAGGAGAGGTACTCATTTATTACCTGTATGGATGCTTTAGACTTAACTCTTTCCTTGGACCCGAGTTGAGAAAAACTGCTAGACTTTTGCTATGGACTGCCTTCCCTAAAATGCCTAGCATTCCTCTAAAATGTTTTAAAGAGGGAAAAAAGGAATAATATTTTTTACCTTGGGGGCGGGGTGGTGGAATTATAACTGTTCTAAAGAATCATACACAAATTTTTGATCCTTATTTCCCAAAACAAAACCAATGCCCACATCTACTTCTCGAAAAAAGGGGGAAGATTGATATAAGGAAACACATATTTTCCATTTCTTGCTTTCAAATATACCTGGACAGTTTGCTTTGGGGAGATCGCTGGCAAACACACCATTGTCTGACCCCTGCTGGCTGGGGCGAGAACTCTCGTCAGGCATCGACTGTGGTGTCATCCTGACCCCTCCCGTGGAGAAACCAGCAGAAGCTTTCTCGTATCCAGGCAGCGGCTCTTTTCAGTTTCCCAACTGTGTCACGTTCCCTGGGTCTCCTCTTCCCAGGAGTCCTGATTCCCTACACAGTTCACTGCCTGTTCTCCACAGACATTGTTCTCAGACTTGGATTTTCTCTCTCTTTTAACAGTATTCCACCTGTTCACACTGGTGCCCTTGTGAGATTCTGAAACTCAAAGAAGGACCTAGCCAGGGCTTCCACAAGACTGGGGGGAAACCAGGGACTCCCCTTCAGTCATTTCCGTCTCCACGTGAAGTCTGGAAGGTGACCTCGGCGACCCAGCTAGTACTGGGCCATGTCGCACTGTCCCATCAAGCAACAACAAAAAATAAGCAGTGAGACAGAAAAGGCTGAGGCAGAGAACACGACCGAGGACGGGTTACTGCTTCTCAGCTCCTGTCTGGAGCTGAACAGCAGAGCTGCATCCAGCTAAAACTAACTTCTGCGTCTGCCCTTACAGTAACCCCTTCCTTTTGCAAAAGGGGATGCTTTCCCTGTACACAAACAAACCCAACCAAACACAAAAGCAAAAAATTCAGCCACTTGTTCTGAAAACAAAGAGGTACGAGGCTTAAGTGGGTAATAGCTGCAGAATGGATCCTCTTTATGTTTAAAGAGCCATCTGTACTGCCACGCTCACTTGACCTCCACCCTGTAGCGGTCTTAGAAGCAGACGGATGGCCGTCATCTAATTGCTTGACTATTTATGACTGGGAAGGGCTGTTGGAGGCGTGGTGTAACTTCTCATCTTCCCCACCACCACCCCAGAGTCCCTTGACTGACTGCCAGGAGATAGAGCAGCAATTGTTTTGCTAACTGTGGTCTTAAATTCTCTGTCAGAGCGTCACACGGCCCTTCCACTCCTTTTCTGATTAGTCAGACACCATTAAAGGTTCATTTTCTGCAAAAGAATGGAGTGACTTTTGCTGCTGGGGATACAGATCATTTTGAGATTTATAGGTGTCTTTGCTTGGCATGAAATAGGTTTTATGACTTACAAATGAATGGCTGGGTGGGGGGGCTGTAAATAAGGCGTTCGTAGAATGTTGTTTTGATGCCCCCTTTCCTGATCAAAGGATAGGGATGCACTAAATATCAAGTCTATAATGCAGTGCTCCATGTACCTGATTTATGAAGTCCAGCTTTAGCTTTAGAGCAGTTCACTGCTCAGAGGATCATTGGTGATTTCATGGGCCCGTCATTCTACCTGGCTTTGGGGGTTCTGCAGAAAAAGAGCTAAAGACCTGATTTTGCCCCACAGAGGAGTCTATCAGGAACTATCACAGAAGAACTCACACTACCCCACTGTCCCATTTATTAGTGTGACAGGCCTGTGGCTAGGCCTGTGAAGGTCTGTGACTCAGAGGGCCCAGAGCAGGGGTGTAGGGGAAGACTGGGCAGGCAGGCCTGGAGCTGAGTGAGGGAGGAACAGGCTGAGAGTGGAAGAGCCAGGGGTGAGCGTGAGCATTGGTGGGTAAGTCGGGTCAGGGACAGACAGGCGGGGGTGCCTCTGGAGGGTGAGGAGGGTTCTTGGGGAGGAAGATGGGTCGATGGAGTCTAAGGTGGCTCAGGATGCGCAACAGAGTAGGCTAAGTTGGAGGAAGGGGCTGGGGGCTTGGCGGGAAGACTGGTGACGCCAGGGAGGATGGTTCACCACGTGATTGTCGAGAGAAGGAAACAACTGCGCACTGCCTGAGTGATAACCGCTCTCACTGAGCTGTAGAAGAAGAAACTGTCGAAGGGTGGGAAGCTCGTGGAATCTGTTCTTAGCCCAGGAGGGTGAATCTCAGGTGAAGAGCATCTGGTTTGAGGCACCATAATACCTATGTGTTGAAAGTGGAGTTGACAGAAGTGACAGCTTCCAGCTCTGCTCGCTGCGATAAACTTCATACCTCTAGGTCGCAAGCCTCTGGTTTGCAGATACTTGGAAAAATAATTTAACTCAGATCAACACACTTGAGAAAGTTATCCATTGCAGAAGCACTAATTAACGTAACTTCACTGTCTGCTGCCTTTTGTTAACCGGCACTTCCAGAAGCCTGTTCAACTTTTTACATTAAATGACAGAAATATTGCACATCTTAGGAACTTGGGGACCACCGTGGGTCCCACTGCTCCTCGGTGTCATCCCTGGACAGTGGCCTTTGCTCCTCTCTCAGAGTTTCTATGTCCAGCGGCCACTTTTCTGAGTTGCCATATGTAGTTCTCATGACCAGATAAAAGAGCTTTAAACACTAACTTTTGGAACCATAGAGCCCGGGCTTGACTACAGGTTCTCTTGGCTTTCCTTCTGAACCCAAAACATGGGGTCACCCCTGCAAGCAACTACCTTGGGCACCTGGCTCCAGGTGTGCTAGCTCGTGAACACCCACGGTGCTGGGCTGGACAAGGCGAGGTGTGTGGATAAAGGTGACAGGGCACCTCCAGTTTCTGGCTGTGGTTTGTGGAACTGCAGACCTGAGAGGATGCGGCGAGGGCTCTGTGCAGTCGGTTATTGGGAGAGAAGCGGGAGCACTCACCCCGGCCACCGGCATCGGGGCACCCTGTACCCTCATTCCCTCTGTGTGTTAATCTTGTCCTTCTGCCTTCTTGCTTCAGTCCAAGCCAGACTCGGCCATCGCTGGTCCAGTGGCTTAACCCACAGAGTCCAAGCACACCAAGTTGCAGTCCAGCTGTTACACCTCCTTCACCCAAGTCCTCACCTTTCCCCAGCCCTCTTCCTGCCTCAGTGGCCGAAAAGCCACCGGAAAGGTATGTGGTTTGGAATTCTGTGGAGAATGTGGGGGCAAAGGGGCTGGGCCAGCCCGAGAGTGCGCCTGTGTTCTCTGCTCGAGAAGGCTTGCTCAGGAAATGGGCCCTGGACATTGCGGAGAGGACATTTACAGCCTTGTCTGTGCCTCTGTCTCTCAGTAAGGGGAATTTGCCTCATGTGAGACCTGCCTGGACCTACTTTGTTTTGCTGCTGGTTGTGCTTTTATGAAGCCACTGATTTTGAACGACTATCGGTAGATATAAAGCGCAAGCTTTGCTGTAAAGAAAGTGAACTGGGCACTGGGAGCAGTGATGAATATGGTGCCACTTAGCTGGCATGAGGCCGGAGGCTCTGGAGCAAACCTGTCCTCCAGGGTAGGTGGCTGCAGGTCTTCCCACAGCAGTGCCTCTGCAGTCAGGGTGCCGCCTTGTGCTTGAGCTGGACTTGGCTGCCGGCACAGCCTTCCCCCTCCCCTGCAAGGCCCTTTCCCCAGAGGACATGGCGATCAGGAGTGAGCCGCTGAACCTGATGTGCCCTCTGGCGGCGGAGTGACGGGGTCTCTAAAGAAGACCCTCACGAGAACAGCACGCCCTCCCCCAGCAGTGTGGAGGCCGAGCGTGGGTGTGGACAGGAGGAAGCCATGTCCCGTAGCAGAAGCCACTTACCTGCGTGGCCCCTGCTGGCCTCGGTTGCCGACACACCCAGCCCTGTGGTTCTGATAGTACCCAGGGAGGCAAGGGCATCCACTGGGCGGGTGTCTGTGTGGGTGTGTCTGTGTGGGTGTGGCAGGTTCCGACTTGCAGCGTCATTTCCGGACAGCTGACTACTGTGCTGTTGCCCGAGGTTGACTCCGCACTGCTCTCTACTGCTCTTTCTGGAAGGAGTCAACCCCCCCACCCCCCCGCAGCGGCATGCAAGCGAGGTGGCTTAGGCAGGCGGGGAGGCCCCTCTCTGCTGGCTTCCCCTGGAGTCACCTGTGTCCCCTTGTCTCCTTCCAGCGCCAGCAGCCGGAAGGCCCGCGCAGTATACCCGTGTGAGGCAGAACACAGCTCGGAATTATCGTTTGAAGCTGGAGCGATTTTTGAGGATGGTAAGTGTTCGTGGGGGCTCTGGGAGGGCTGGGGGAGGCTGGGTTAGCGGCTGACGGTGTGGTGTCTAGGGCACAGGTCTGTCCCTTGGCAGCTGGGGCGGGAGAGCCCCAGGCACGGTGTCCTGACAGCGTCTGTAACGCTTCTGCCTCAGTCTCTTCTTCGGCCCGTCCGACTCTCTGGTCTTAGAACGTCTCTCTCGCGAAGTGAACCGGCCGGCACCGCGCAGTTCGGAAAGGCTCTGACGGCCGGCCTGCATTTTCCGCTCCCAGCCTGGGTCCCAGGGCCTCAGCTTCACCAAATCAGGGAAGAGTAGGACGCTCGAGAAGTGCAATTCCCTTGCCACTCACGTGCTGTGAGTGGCTCTGGCTGGTGGGAGCAGTGGATAAAGCTCCAGACACGGGCATTGCCTTTGCATAGTGAAACCGGGGCACAGATTGTATCTGAGTGTCTAACAGCCAAGCACAGACGAGCGGGAGCTATGCCCGGCCTAATGTGTCCGCGTTCTCCTATGCTGCCGTTTCAGTGGGTGTCTCTTTTCTTCCCCCTCTCGATTTCTTCCTTCTCAGGTCCTGCTCATTATGAAATTCACTGGTTGCTGTGGAAACGGTGATATCGAGTGTGTGTGCATGTATGTGTGCGTGTATGTAGCTGTGTAGCTGCCCAGGAGGGTTCCAGGGAAGCAGCGAGAACCTCAGATGCTTCGGGCGGAGTGGTTGATTGCCAGAACGTTTAGAACACGTCAACACGACGCATAGTGTGTACTGTCAATAATGCAGCCCGGCCTCGTTTTTCCTTCTTAGAGAGCAGGTTGCCTCGTGTCCAATAGATTGCTCTCGATGGGTGCTGTGAGCCCGGGAGAGCCAGAGGCTCCTGATAGCATCAGAAAACAAGCAATTGAACAGGAAAAAAAAAAAAAAAAAGCCCCATATACAACAGACTTTTACTTTGTGGAGAAATTTTGCTTTGGGAATAGAAACAAGATTCTTCTTCTCATCACCAGCACAGAGAAACCTGGCATTTGGCCAGCTACTGACCTGGGCAGAAGGTGCATCAGTTGGGATGCTTTTGGCCAGGTAACAGACTGACACTAATCACTAAATCAGTCATGGAAATAGACCGACTCCCGGTGGGCGTCTGGAAGCAGCCTCCAGGGCTGGAAGCTTCTCGAGCTTCCTAACGCTGCCGTGGGCGACCGGCAGCTTTGCCGCGCCGCCCTCGGCCTGTGGTCGGGGCCTGTGACTGGCTCACCCAGCCGGGGCGAGAGGCGCCTCCGCGCCCCAGAAGGCGGCCTGGTCTGCCTGTTCCTTTTGAAAGTACAAGAAGCTACTACTGTCCTCCTTTACCTGCCCGCACGTCTCAGTTGCCAGAGTGGCCGTTTACCCGCATCTGTCACGGGCAGGGGCAGGGACTGAGACCCAAGGGCACCGGCCCCGGGACCCGCCCCGGACGCACGGCTGTGTCTGTGGCTGTGGCTGTGGCTGTGGCTGTGGCTGTGGCTGTGGGCGGGCACCTGCACCGGCTCCCGTCAGCCTGCGCAGCAGAAGGGCGGAGCGCACCTGGCCTGGAGGCTGTGGCGCGGGCTCTGCAGTCCCTGTGCCCGCCGGAGCCCCGGGCAAGTGTGGGGTCTGTGTGTGCACCCCATAGACTCCCGCTCACGTCACACGCACGTCACACGCACGTCACACACACATGCCCACGCAATGCCTTGGCGTGCCAGGGACGCGGCTGCGTGTCGCGCCAGGCAGTGCTCCCCTGGCTCTGCCATGCTGTGACCGGCTGCGTCCCAGCGTCCCCCTGCACCCCGCCCTTCAGGAGTACTGGAGCTTCGCTTGGCCCTGGGTTTCCTAGGGTCCGTTCTTTAAGATAGAGAAAATCAGAGGTGCTTGAGCAGGACTGGCCTTCCCGTGTGGGTTTGCATGGTCACCTCTGGGCACCGTTGCTTCTTAGGGCATTTATAACTAATGAGAAGTGCGTGCCCAGAGCGGGGCTGCTGGTGCTCTCGCTGCAGTGGCTAAGGCCAGGGGTTGTCCTCTGGAGACTGACCTGCAGGCCAGACCGAACCGGCCTCCGCTTCTGGGGAGCCAGGCGGTGCTCACCGCTGTGCAGAGGTGCGGTTGGCCAGAAACGCGGCTCGTGCAGGCCTGGATGTGTTTCTCCTGCGCCACTTGTCCGTGGGGAGCCTCTGGCTGTCCCCAGTGCTCCAGCCATGCCGCCTGACTCTTGGACTCATTCAGAAAACAAGAGAAACCATTCATGGCCTTTGCAGAAGTTGGAATCTGAGGCCTAGGGATGCCCTGGCTTGGATTCTAGAATTGAAAGAGAAGCTCAGGAATGAAGTAGCTCAGTCACTGTTCCTTACTCTGCTCTCACTGTGTGGCCCTGAACTTAAGTTGTGAGAGTTCTAGAAAATTCACTGAGCTCCGATGTACATAATGAACTGGGAGGAGCCAGACTCGAAGCCGGGAGGTGGGTTGGGACGCCGCTGTGAAATTGAGCAGATCTCATTAAAACCCTCCGTATAGACTGGCGACAAGATAGTCCAGAACGGACCCATTTTCTACAGTGAATAACACGAAGCAAGTACTTGCAGGCACTTTGTGAAGAATGATTTTTTTTTTTTCCCTTTGCAGTGCAAACCTCGAGGGAACCTGGCTGGCTGGAGGGGACTCTGAATGGCAAGAGGGGCCTGATTCCACAGAACTATGTCAAGCTGCTGTAGCACCTGGCCTGTGAGGACCCCACACGGACCCTGGCCCCAATCTTCCTCCTCCTGGCTGGAGCCCACAGCCTCCTGGACGCACGCGAACCACACACCACGATGGCTCTCCAGGGGCGGGAGGGGGCAGACTGCCAGAGCTGGGGAGAGGGACGCACGGCCAGGACTGAGCGCTCTGTGGAGTGGGAGAAGATTGGCAGAGTGGACTCTGCCCTCGACAAGCCTGGGACTGGCGATTTTTCCTTCTCCAGCCTCTAGCAGGAGCGGGCGGCGTTTTGTGCCAGCACAACCTTCTCCTCCGCTGGCCGTCACGCCACTGGACTCCCCTGTGCGTCCCTCCGGTATCTGAAACGGACCTGCCTGCCCTCTGAGTGTTGCTTGCAGGACGTGCTCTTGGCCCAGGCAGGCGAGGCGTGGTAGTGGCCGCTGCTGAAGGCCAGGAAGTTAAGTGAGCCCAGCCCAGAGGTACCAGGAGGTGCCCCTTCCTCACCGGCCTGCTGGAGACCACAGACTCGCTCTCCCCAGGGCACACGGCGTATTTATAACAGGCTTCTTGTTGGTGCTTCCCACCTGTGTGCTGTTTTCCAGACACCACCTTTTGCCCCAAGGCCTCTGTAAATGAAATAAAATGTAATTTACTATCTGGTTTGTGTGGTCACGGTGGGGAGGGCGGACGAGACAGTCGCTCCCCCTGTGACGTTTTTTCATCTAGCAGCTATTGCACAGACACGCATCCCCCCGGATGCGGTTAGGGTCACAGGTGGCGTTGATGGACGAGGAGTCTGGCTTCTGGTACCAGGGCGGGTCCCCAAGGGGCCTCCTGGGAGGCCGCCTCCAGCCACCCACAAGGGCCTTCCCCGGGCTGCGTGACCTCCGGCCAGGGAGCAGGGTGGGCACTGGCTCCCTGCCGGCTTGTGTGGGGGTTACTCCTGGACCCTGGAGGCCGGCCACCGACACGCTCCGTTGTGTGACTGTCCCGACCCCTTCCCGCCCTCTCTTTTCCAGGCCGAAGTGCTGGTGTCTCCCTCTGCATTACGCCCAGCTGCAGGACAGCAAGTCAGGCCCTCAGGCCCTCCAGGAGAAGCCTCGGCCAAAGGGACTGTCAGCAGGGACCCCAGCGAGGGCAGCCCTGCCCTGATGCTTGCTCATTCTTCGCAGACTTCGGAGGGGCCCAGTGGCAGGCCCGCCCAGCCTCGGGGTCACGAGTCCCAGAATGTGGCTTTCACCGCTGGTGACCTCAGGATTCCAAGGACGCCAAGGCCTGCTTGGGGTGGAGTTTGGGGTGGGGGCAGGTCTGGTGCGCCTCTTCCCCACAGCATTCCTGGGCCAGCGGACTTGTCACCTGAGAATTGGTCACGGGACGGAGCTGTGTCTGCTCTTCTCCAGATGAGTTGATCCAAGGGCGTGATGCGTCTCGGGTTTGAAGTCGCCTTCCTGAGACTGTAGGTGTCAAACTTGGGGTTGTGTATGTATAGGGGGACAGGGCTGTTCAAGAGGATTCAGGAAACGCGTAAAGATAAAGACAGTCTCGGTGCAGTGTATTACGATCCTGAGCTGCGGTAAGTATTGAGACTGCCGAGGATCCTGGGGTGGAGGCCTGTGCGTGGGCAGCTGGCCCAGGCCTGGGGGTGGCATAACCCCCCAGGTCCTGTTTTAGAGGCCTCCTTTGCCCACAGCTGAGGGATCTAGAAGGGAAACTTGGCTTATGAGCAGGGGTTACTGAGTACCCCACTTTACAGAGTCACTGATGGAAAATACAAGGCCCAGAGGTGGCAGTGGTCAGCTCCAGTGAGTGGGGGAACCGATGGCCTGGCTATACCCCTAGTGGGGGATCCCCACAGGCATGGACATCAGAACTCCCCGCCCAGGACTGGGTCTTTGTGCTTACTTGAGGAAGATTTCCATAATTCACAGTGAGGTAACCTGCTGTCCACCCAAATGCTGCTAACTCCCCAAGGTACTTAGCACCACTTACCCTGTCAAGGAAATTACCACCACGTCTGGCCACCGTGTGACCTGTGCCAGTTCAGTGGTTTCTCTGCTCCAGCCCCTGCCTCACAGAAGGAGAATGGCTCTCTACGCACGTAGCTGCTCATCACGCCGTAGATGCTCAGTCAACAAGGTGCTGCTGTACCGGTGCTGTGAGTGCTTCAGGCCTGTGCTGGTCACCAGGCCCCCTGCGTTCCACAGCCTGGCGGCATGTTGGCAGTGATGCCTCAGTAGCTGCCTGCAGGGGCTGCCGCTGCAGACCCTTTGTGAGCCTGGAAGAACTGGATGGCGCCGGGCGGGGGAGGCTGGGCGGCCGTCAACAGGATGGGTGGGGCAGGCTGGCCAGGCAGGGAGTAGTCTCTGGGGCCTGGCCCAGAACATACTCAGGAAACACTGGCAGATCTTCTTTGGGTCCCCAGCAGGGGAACAGGGTGTGTGTTGGGGGGTTGGGGCTGCTGCCCGGCTCCCTCAGCTATCCCCGCACAGGTCTGCAGCCCGAGTGCCTTCTCATGAGGCCTGGCTGGGCGCTGCAAAGGACTCAGATTCTGCATTTCCTGCAGGTAGTGGCTTAGCGGGGCTAGTGGCTGATGGCGTCACCCCGGGATGTACCCCAAGTGCACCGCAGTCTGTGTCAGGTGGCAGAAGCCACGCCTTTGGGCCTGTAGGGGAAGCAGCCATTGTCTTGTTACAGGGTAGCCCAGAGTGGACTGGGCCGCCTGTCTGTGGGGCCTCACCCGCGCTCACAATTCAGTTATACTGCAGGCACATGCTAAAGGGTCAATAACGGGTTTATTTACAAAAGGGGAAAGGAAAAGGGAACAACCCAGGGAAAGAGAGCGGGATACAAAGGAACTGGAATACGTTACCGGCTCAGCTGACTGAAAACACAGAGTCACGTCCGGAGAGCCGTTTCCAGAGAGATAGAGCGTGCTGGAGCAGGGGGTGGGGTCTCCAGGACTCTGCAGAGTTCCAAGGACATCCTTCCCCTTAACAGTCTGAGCCAGTGAGGAGGATGCAGAAGGTTGAACTCATTTTCGCCTTACGGGGACTCACTGAGCGGGGAGGATATAGCTGAGTCCTGGGCACAGCCCTGCTCAGCTCTGGGGGCCAGTCGGGGGAGAGAGAGTGTTGGGGTTGAGGGTGCCTGCTCCCTGAATTCAGGCTGATGGCGTCCCCCCGCAGACCGTGAGTGGAGAGGGATGGTTGCAGAGGTAATCAGTTACGACGAGGCACGGAGGGTTGGCCTGGTCCGATGACGTCATTTTGAACAGGTGCAGTCTGGACACAACGGTACATGGAGGAGAGCAAGGCGAGGAGACGGAGGACATGGCTTCCCGCGCACCAAGCAATGTCTGGGACAGGTTGCTTCCTTGGGGGGAGCCGACCTGGTGGCCACCTGATCTTCACATATGGCCTCCCAACTGGAGGCTGAAATCTGTTGGTTATGTCACCCGGTCTGTGGCCCTGTGGAGCAAATGAGTAGCCACAGTGCCTGCTTTGAGCAGAAGCATCCAATTTTGAAGTCCTTGGGGTGACCTTGGGTAAGTGCTGTTCCCCGTGCTCCAGTGTCCTGTGGAGAGAGCAGACCGGCACCTTTGCCTTCGGGAGGCTGTGACGAGTGGTGATGAGCAGTGAGTGAGTAAGGGATGTGGGGCAGGATGCTGGGTTTGTAAGGGGGCAGGAGGTAGCTGGCAGGGCACTGTGGTAGTGGTGGTGGGGTGTTAGTTTCTGTCCCCCTTCTTATATCCAAGTACCACATTCCCCCTCCCCCTCAGAGCTGCTTCTCCAAAGCATTTCTGGGCTATATCCCCCCGCTTCCCCAGGGCACACGCGCCTCCTTAATCTCAGCCTTGTTCTTGTCTCCAGTTGGCCAGCTGCACCTCTGCCCCTCACTGTTTCCCCTCAGCTCTCTCAGAGTCCACCTGGCCAGGTGTCCCCAGGTGCATCTTCCCGAGCCCACACCTCCCTTGTCCCCTCCTGCCTGAAGGTGCTACTCTGGTCCATGCCCTCGGTGGCCTGCAGAGTTCTCAGAGGTCTGGCAGCTCTCACCTTTATGGCCACCCTGGGTACCCTGGCAGAGTCTCCTGGCTCCAAGTGTCACTCTACTGAGTAGGAAATGACATCTTTCCTGTCAGAAGATCAACTTGATCGGCCCTTTGGCAAACAAGAGGCCTGCATGGATCTAATGCCTAGATCTGGCCTTCTGGGGGGACTTGGCAACCAAGACAGCAGGAGGCCCACACCTGGGGGAGGGCGAAGGCGTGATCAGGGCCAGACCAAGCCACATTTTATAGAAGCCATGCCGCTGGCCCAGACTGGTCAGCATGTGAAGATCCAAAGAAATGGATTTTTCAGCCCATGAAAACTTGGAAACCACTGTCTTGGCGACTTAAATGCTATGAAAAATGTGAGCGATTGCTAATCATACATTGACTTCATAAGCTCAGGTCTCCTGCCTCACGCCATATCCGTGCCATGTGGGGAGCCCACCACCCTGGCTCAGACTGACCTCATCACTTGCTTTGGCCAGTGGGACAACAACAAACGGTGGAGACTTAGGTCTGTTTTCCTACTGTCTCAGCACTTTGCTTCGTAAGCAAATACACCCAGGCTCGTTTGCTAGTGCACTAGCTGCCCACATGGAGCAGAACTGCCCTGGACTCCTGTGCAGGGACAGGCCCAGGCGGCCCAGCATAACGGGCCAGCCCCGCTCATACAGTCCCAAGGCTAATGCATGTCCCATGGGCACCACAAGGTTGGGGATGGTCAGCAGCTACCTACCTGCTTCTCGTTCCCTGTTCACTCTGCATGTGGTCCAGACTTGCGCAGAGCTGAAAGGCAACAGCCTGACTGATTCTTTTTGTTACCTGGTGTTCCAGCAGCCACTATTTTATTTCCAAGAAATCTGTTGCATTGTGATGAGATGATTTGCTGTACCATACTAGTATAGCAAGTGCTATACTCTGCACTTGGTACACGTGCAGAGATCCTTGTAATTAAGTCGTTTTAGCCTGTGTCTACTGGGGCTTATCAGGAAGTATGTCAGACTGATGGTAACCTAAAGGGACAGTGTTTCTGTTTGAGGGGTATTCAACACGCAGACGCTACCAGCCCCCTAATTATGGATGCATTGCTCTTCACCACCCCGCAGTGCAGTGACTCCCTGGCTGGAGCCGCTCTGGAGACTGAGGATTCTTGAATGTGCAGCTGGATTCTTTGGGGCTGAGAACACTTTTAGAAATTCTTAGAAACAGCCACACTTGACCCAAGAGTGAAACCTGCTCTATTCAAAAAGTGTGCCCACTTCAGCCAAGTGTGTGTGCCCCTCTGTGGTCCCCTCCCGGCCTCAGTGGGCTCACAGCTAAGACGGCTTTTGTTTAAAGCGGGGGGAGGGGTGTTCCTGTGAAAAGCTTTGCTCCACCAGAGGCTAAATTTTCTAGATTTCTAAGAAAATGATCATCGCTTACAGATGTTAGGCGATGGACTTGTGCACCCCTTTGTGCGCTGTCACAGAAGCCTATAGTGTTCAAGCAAGGTAGGTTTGTTTCTCTCAGAGCCAATGATTTGAATACCCAGCAGTTACATGAGACACTGAAAATACACTAAAATTTATCTGGTGGGAAATGTTTTCTAGCTGGGAAGTGAACTGGCGACTGTGGCTGCCCTTCTGTGGTCTGGCTTAACGGGCGACACGCCGGGCAGGACAGTGAGCAGCAGCACTGTCGGGATCAGACAGCCCGACACCGTGGCGGGGAGGCATGAGAAACGCCCACGGAGCGAGAACACTGTGGTCGGAAGGGTCTGGCCCACTCCCAGGCGGCATGGTGAGCAAGCAGCCCCGTGATCATGACGAGAAGTGAGGCCGTGCCCGTGTGCTGGTGGGTGGGTGTGGGGACCTCAGGTGGCACTGACTGAGACTACCCACGTGGACGACTGTGTTTCTTATACCCCCAGGGGGCGTTTCAAAATTAGGCACAGTAAGCAGAAACGACTAGACTCTACTGCACTGCAATGGAAGATGTGAATATAGCCTCAAGTACCTGACTGGATGGAGAATTTTGAGACATGGCTGACTGGGTAACTGGAACCGCAGACGGGACTTCTGTACTCAGCAGCTACCTGGTAAAGTTGTTGTTAACTGAGCGGTTACAGGGCATTTTAGTGCACCGGACATTAATGGTAGGAAACAAGGCATCTCCTCAGTCCCAAAACAGTACTGACATGTGGCTGACACAGTACTTTTGGCACATGGGAAAAAACTGTCACCCCGTCTCGGATGCAGGACTCAGTTTGGAAGGGCACAGGATCCAGGGGTCCTATGGACATTCCAATGAACTGTTTCCAAAACAACAGGTGATTAAAGTAAAGGATTTATTGTAATCTGCTTACAGTCCTTTGCAAAGACAGACATATGTTTTTGCATAAAGATATAAATTGCTTCATTTTAAACTAATTTAGTGTTTTTTTTTAATTATATGAAGTTTTGGTGAATTATGAATTGTACCAAACCAAGATTTTTAAGAGCAATATGGTACAAAAATAAGAGCAGACAGACAATTTGGACCGGGACAGGCATTCAACAGTGAATTTAGAATATGGCTTTGCTGTTTAATCAAGCAAAGTTACCCGGAGACACACAAAGAGCCAGTAACTTTGTTAATACAAAAAGCTGATGCAGACAGCCTCCATTCCAGACCTCGTGACGTCGTCAGTCTGAGCGCAGTGTTGCTCTTGTAAGCTGTTTCTGTTCTAGAAACACCCAGTCTGCATGCTGCCTACCACCTTCCAAGTGGCTTTCCTATGCTGTGCATGTAAGTTGACTGCATTGAAAGATCGGCCTATAAATTAAATTCCTGAAGTTGCAAATTATGTAAGAAAAACTCCTCCCTCTGAGTGCTTTCTCCTTGCATAAGGCAGGTGCTTTTGAGACAAGGTCGAGTTGCCTGCGTGGTGAGCCTGGAGAAAGTCTCGATCCCAGCGCGGCCTTCTCCCTGCCTCGGACTCCTCCAGGTACAGCTTTTAGGTTTGGAAAAGAATCTGATTTCACTGAGAACCTGATGATTATCATCACGTTTCAAAGATTAATTTGGGCTCTATTCAGAGTCATTTATTTAGTGCAACTGTATTGTTAAAGTTTCCCCAAAGACACACAGGTTTATGATTTGGGGCAAGAGAAAAGCCATAAATTGCATCCGTGCCAAACAGATGAATTAAAAATTTTTAGTGCCACTGTCTTGCTTATATGATCTTCAGGGTTTCCCCCCCCAAAACTGTTCATGTATAAAATGTTTTTAAAACCTACCTTTGAAAAATCTAAAAACCCTCTAGTTGTGTGGTCTCCACGCTGGCTGGCTGTCCCCAGGGCGACACAGGGCCTGTGTGTCCAGTCCCAGGAGTGCAAAGCCCCTTCCCCGCCCAGACGTGCCCTGCTCACCTCAGACAGACCTAGCGTGCATTGGGTTTTTGTTTCTCCAAGGAGAAAATTGTTTTCTAAAATGGGATGAGGATGTGTTCTCTGAGCTGTGGGCTTTGCAAGTCTCACTCCCTTCAGGTTGATTCTGCCCCTTGAGGAACAAGGAAAAGGGGCGGCACCCCGAGGGGCTGCCTGCACATGCGTTCTGTCACGTGCCACCTCGGGGCGCTGCGAGGCCCCCCGGCCCTTGCTCCCCGATGGAAGTAGGATGAAGCAGAGCCTGGCCTGCTGTGTGACGGCGCCTGCACACCTCCAGCGGGAGACCCAGGACAACACAAAGGTACAGAAAAGTAGAAAGGCTTAAAGACAACCGCAGAGGTTTCAGGGTGGTTATTTACAACAGAGACTGTAAAATGGTAAATTAGATAATGAAGCTAAAAAAGGCACAGCTTTCCCTTCTTAAATACACTGTAAACGGTTCGTGATGCATGCAGAACATTTCACTTTACAAAAAAAATTTTTACCTTGTTTGTTTAGACAAAGATAGTACTTAAATAGTCTCCAGCAAAATAGAATTCTTTCAAAAATACTTTCCCATTCATCCTATTAACCATTAAAGTTTTTTTTTTTGTATGTCTCATTTACAAAAGTTCCTTATACCTTATTTCAGGTCCTTCACAATTTATACATACAGTAATGTACAGCACAGCAAAAAGACTGCAAAAAATTATTGGTAAAGCCAACACAATAGATACTAGAAATTGAAACCAAGGCAATTGTTTCAACCTTTTATCCATTCTAATTAAATAATAAATGGCCGCTACGGGGTGTCTATACCAGTGATGCAGAGGGTCGTGGGCACTGGAGCCTCGGAGACGCTAGTCCACGCCGCGTGCTCTGTTATTACACAACAGGTATCTGGATATATTTTTTTCTGTTTTGTGTTTTTTTTTTTTAAATAACAAAAGTATATTAATGCCCCATATTGACTATACGTTTTATGTGCAAACCAAGGGTAAGCTTTAAAAAGTTCGTTAGTCCTTGAACCCTTTTAAAACAAGCGAACGATACCAGAAACTACATGGCATAGTTAAAACTTCCATCTGTTAAAATAGCAAAATCAGAGTTATTGACTAGATATGGCTTTTCATCCAGAGGAGCAGGAACGAGTTTCTAAGCGCTGGGATTGGAGAGGGGTGAGTCCATAGACCGCTGGGGTGTCGCCAAATCCACGTCAAATTGCTTTCCCGGCTCCAAACCCTTGACATGATTTTAAACTTGAGAAACTGCTGAACAGGTGAGAATCAACCGTCACATGTTAAAAATATGATTTCTTGGGTCCTTCGCGGGTGTGGAATAACACAGGGAAACTTAAGGCAAAGTTCTTCTGGTTTGCTGACTGGCGTCACTTCCGGTGAAAGTACAGGGCCTTGGCGTTCCCGGACTCCACCTTTGGCAGCTGGTCGCTGATGATCTCCACCAGCATCGCGGGGAACTCCACCTTCAGCGCCTGGGACTCTCGGAAGGTGTAGAAGCAAAACTCCAGCAAGTCACTCACCAGCTGAGAGAAAGAGAGAGAGGGTGGTGAGGCCGGCCCTCTGGTGTCTGCTCAGAGCGCCACAGAAATGGGCCTGGAGGCCAGGCCTGCCTAGTGCCCACAGGTGAGGGGTGCACTCCTTTGCCTGTAGTGTCGTGGGCCTTTCCTGCTAACGAGAACGAGCCCAGAGCTGTGTCTGTCCGGGACTGACAACAGGGACTGAATGGAAGTTGCCAGCAGCTGGGTTTCCGAATTGGGCTCGTCAAATGCTTGTTTCTGCTCATGTGGGTCTGTGGCAGTGGGGGAGGGGTGGGGAGGGTGGGCAGGATAGCAGGCCTTTGCTGGCACACACCAGTCTCTGGACAAGCTGTGTCTGTGGGGCACCCTCCTTCAGGCTCCCCAAGAGCTGAGGTTAGTCAGCCACTGTTTTTTTTTT